GCCGAGGCGGAAACCCCGGAGGGCTGGTCCCTGCAGGGATGCCACTTCGGGTACGCGCAGACACCAATTTTCCGTAAACTCCTTTATTGTTTGCGTGGCGATTTAATGTTTGTTGCCTTTTTTAAGGGGAGTTACGCAAAGCCTCGGAAATAATCGTGCTCCGAGGCGGGGAAGTGCGGAGCAGGCGGTGGCCCGAAGCATCCCTCCGTGGATCGCCTCCCCGAGGCTGTTTTCAAGCTATCGATTCATTTTTTGGGGGGGGTAGGAGGGCCAGTCCTGATTTTTAGTGAAATCCTGAACGGAGCCGGAGCTCAGCATCACCTCTCCACAAATCCCAGCCGAGGCTTTAGCTTCTCTGTATGCGCTATATATACTCTCTCCACTTTATATACCAGAGCCAGCACCCACGAGGACTAAAAACTCCCCCTGATGCCACTGATGTCACAGCCCCAACACTCACGGAACAACCAGCTCGTGTCCCCAGAGGAGAAATCCATATCCAACGTACCCAAGTCAGATTTTTAAGGATGAGAGAGAGGCGTGGGGGTTTTCCCTCCCCCCCCCAAAAAAAAATCTTTTCCCAGTGGAATAAAACCAGCAAGAACCAAGCAAGAAACTTTAATGTAAGTATTTATTGGGTTAGCAATACTGCGCAGTTCATATCCCAGCACACGGACGCGTTCCACACCGGTACAAACAAGCAGGAATCGCTGCTCCGTTTGCCCCGAGGATTCGCCTTCACGCCGGCTAAAGCGGACTGCGCCGTGAGGCAGTGCGTCTCCTGCGGTCCTCAAACCCTTGCTCCCTTTGCTGGTCTGAATATAGAAACCTATCGCTTGCTAAAAAATGACAATCGTTAAAAAAAAAAAAAAAAGGCAGCAAATACATAGTCTGAAAGCCAGAAGCGTTCTGCTGTGCCTCTTACTGCTTCTTGTCCCTTATTCTAAGGCCTTTGCTATTTTCCAGGAGGCTTCTTGTTAGGAGTTTATCGAATATCTCAATTTGTGAACAGCACTACTTATGGATATATATATTTATTTTTTTTTCTCTAGTAGGCTGTCACTAAGGATTGGTAGAAAAGCTCTGGATTCGTTTCATGAATTTATATTCAGGGGATTTAGCTGTGCGAGGGTGCACCCGGAACGGGTCCGCTCGAGGTGGGTGCTGGCGCAGGGGTAGATCTGGGCTCTGCCTCGCCTTGAGAGCCCTTCAGCAGGCGGCCGGAGCAGCGGGGGGAGCCCATTCCCATCGGCACAAGGAGCCGAAGGCTCTGCGAACAGCTCTGCCAAATGAGCTCGAAAGGCTTTCACCCTGTGGGAAAAGGCTGGCCAGGTTTCTCCGGGAGGAACCCGCAGGTTTATTCCCATTTGGTGGATGAAGGGAGTCGCCGGCAGCGGCTCCGGCTCTGCCCGTGGCACCGGGCGGGGCGAGGACACCCCTACCGACATCCCGCACCGCTTCTCCCAGCCCGAAGCATCCTCCTCCCCACCGCAGGGCCGCGGTCCCCCTGGACCTCCCCGAGAGGGATGAGCGGGCTGGACCTCTGGTGAGCTTTCCTGCGGGCAAAGGGCGATGGAGCTGGCTAGGGGGGCTGCGAGGAGCCCGACAAAGCCGGCTTTATCCCTCCCCGCTCGCATTTCCGCGAGATGAACAAGCCTCCAGTGAAGCAACACAGCGAGGGGCTGTGTTGGCTTCTAGAAAGCATTAGCAAAAGCAGGCTGAGTGTCCGACTCCAAGGGCTGGCTTTCTTCTGCAAAGCGATGCTTCCTCCCGCGGCTTATGGAGAGCTCTTCACGGGGAAACGCTTCTTAATCTGGAAGCACTCGCATTTCTTGTATTTCATCGTCAGTCCGTACTGAGGAGTGATGTCCACCTCCTCCCCGGGGCGGAGGCTGAACTCCAGCTGCTGCAGCATGGTGGCCAAGAAGAGGAAGATCTCCCACCGGCCGATGGACTCCCCGATGCATCGCCTCTTCCCCAAACCGAAAGCCATCACTTTGTCGCTCTCCGTCCTGCTTATTTCGGTCCCCGCGGCGTTGAGGAACCGCTCGGGGTTGAAGGTCGAGGGGTCCTTCCAAAGCTTCCTGGAGCAGAAAGGAGACACACCTGAGGAAGCCGTTTTCACCCACCGTGATGGGGACAGCAGTCAAAAAACTCCTCTCCGAGAGAAGCATTACAATACTTTCTCATTTCACCGTCCAAAAACTTTGGCAACCTCTATCCCTGATCTAAAATGCCAACTGCATGTCAGACCCGATCAGCTCAGTCTGTTGAAACCTCTGTTTCAAACTCGGATTGTGTTTGCCTGTGCAGATACCGGGGATGGATTTAATTCAGCGTGTGATATCTAGAGGTCCTGCAGTGTCAGCTGAAAGAAGAAAATCTGTGCACAGAAATCGGTCAGCACCTCTTAAAAAGGAAGGGTGGAGACCTGAGGGTCTTCCCACCTTGAATCCTCCCAGCAAAACTTCCCAGCCTGGCTGCTGGGAAGTGCCACGTGGGATTTTCCAGTGCCTTAGCCGAGAATTTCTGCTTGGACATGGGGAATTCTCTCTGGCCCTAAAGACAGCGTTCCCATCGCAATGCTCACCAGCATACGCAGGAGCAGGAGGAATATTGTAATATTTCTGTGCTGCCGGGCTATTTGGATACAAAGGTCTTGAGCTTCTGATCCAAAATACCTGACCGGGGAGCCACCTTCTGTGTCAATCTTTAGTCAACTTACTCCCCAACAGGAGGGTCTCTACTGGAGAGCAGCAGAGGGGTAAGACGGGGCTTTGGTTTCCACATCCCCTTTCATTCACCAAAGCTGATTATCAGCAATAACGACACGAGCCTATTGAGTTTAACGAGAGTCGCATCAGGACATTTTTCTCCCGGAAAGAGGGAACCAGGCTGTTCCCACTGAGCACATCCAGAGCTGTCAATCCAGATCACAAGGGCTGCTTGGCAGGAGGATCTACCGATTCCTGATTATTCAGCAGCCCAAGCTGCCAACCCTCGCACATACGTGGGAAGTCCAGTGCATTGAGGACATCACCACGTTACCGCACATACATTGGGTAAACCCTGGTGTTGGGCAGTTGCTGAACCGGTGACCAGGTCAACCCAGAGCAGCACCGTGCCCAGGAGACCCGAGGCCGGGCTCAGCATCAAACCCACACGATTTTCGGTCCGATCTGCCTTTTCCTGCCTTCATGACCCATTCGGCTTTTGGCATCTTGCTGTAAAGGATCAGAGCGAGCTTAATGCCAAGCAAACCCATCACAGCCCGGATAAGCACGGGGGATTTGGGTATACTCACTCATCGTGATTCACTTGCCACTGGTTGATAAACACGCAGGTATCCTTGGGGATGTAATAGCCGTTCAACGCCGTCGCTTTTGTCGTGCTGAAAGAAATACGGGTGGAGGCGAAGAGACGTTAAGAGGAGACCCGCAGCTTCGCGGCAAAACAAAGCTTGGCAAGTCCTAGGGGTGTTTCATTTTCAATGCCCTATTTGTACTCTTAGGACTGGCTAGGAAATAACCCAATTTTTATTTGGGAGACTAAACAGTCTTGGTTAATACTTTTTCTCAAGCAGAAAGACTCCAGTTTCAGGAAGCTGGAATGAGTTGTGCTGTGGTTTCTGCTAAGGCAGGGGGAAATATAAATCCGGGGGTGTTCGCCATCCCTCCACTAGCAAAGGCTTTGGAGTAAAACTACCCTCGAAGCGAAGGATTCAACCCCGGGAGGGCAGCTGCCAGCCCCGAGGGCAGCGGATGCAGCCACAGGCACCAGCGCAACGTGGCAGCTGCGCTACCGGCGAGCGTGAAAGCCATGGGGAGCTTTAACATGAGTAATTCAGGCTGTGCACCGGAATATTTCCCCATAGCAGAGTTCGATTCCCAGGCAACTATCTGCCTAAACGGCACCTCCCAGAAAACCACTCCAAAAAAGCCCCGAATAACGTGTCAGCTGCTCCAGCCTGTACCTGTGCGGGATGGTGAAGGGCAGGAAGGAGGAGTGCCTGAACATCTCCAGGATAAAAGCTTCTGTGTGGGGCAGCGTGCCGCGGTCCGACAGCCTCGGTCTCCTCTCCTGGCCGATGGTCTGGTCTGCGGGAGGTCGAGAGGAGGGAGCGGGCTGGGGTCAGCCCTCGCCAGAGAGGTTTTGACCCCGGAGGCAGCGGGCTCATGGACTCACCTAGTTCTTCCTGGATCCTCTTCTGGATGTCGGGGTACAAGGCGACGTACATGAGGCTCCAGGATAAGGCAGTTGTCACGGTGTCAAAGCCTGGATGGACATGAAAAAGGCATTTAGTTACCAGAAGATGACAGGCGAGCAGGTATTTACAGACCCCATCACTCTAGATGTTTGCCACGGAGCAGTTCCCCATCAGCTATCACTGAAAAGCCTGGTCACCGCTCAGGAGAGCGCCCATGAGCTCAGCAGCAGCTCCAAACACCCACGCATGGCCAAGGTCTCACCCCGACGGCCCCAGTTCCCCACCCAGCCTCCCAGCAGAGAGGCTTTACCCTCAGAAATGTTCTCACCTGCCCCAAAGAGGTCGTTGACGATGTTGATGATCTTCTCATTGGAGAGCGGGACGCGGGCATCCTCCCCTACGCTCGTCTCCTGGCAGTGCTCAATCAGTGAGTCCATGATGTCCCGGATGTGCTCCTGGGGAAGAGCCAGTGGGTCAGGGATGTCACGGACACCAAGGGCTGGGGAAACCTCCCCCAGCCAGTGCCGCCTCCTGGGGGGTTTAACTACAGATTGGAGAGCTCCAAGGAGCTTTCCTGGGCAGAGGTGGGGGGACAAGGGAGTATCTTCTTCTCCTCGTTGCCAGGCAGGCAGCCAATTGTAGGCATCTCCACCCTCGCCCAAGAGCATCCAAGCTCTTACCTTATCAAAGCTGGTGTAATGCTCCTGGACAATTTTTTGCACAAAGAAACTGAAACGCCTGTTGATGTCCTTAAAGAGCTCCATGGTGCGGCTGGGAAGATACTGGAGCACGGGGATAAAGTCAGCGGGGTTGCCAGCAGCAGCCACGTCCCCAAATTCATTGTTGAGGTTCATCAAGCTGAGCAGCTCTTGGTCGTTGTGGTCGTAACGCTTGCCAAAGCACATGGCACAGATGACGTTGGCCACAGAGTACCCTCAGAAATGTTCTCACCTGCCCCAAAGAGGTCGTTGACGATGTTGATGATCTTCTCATTGGAGAGCGGGACGCGGGCATCCTCCCCTACGCTCGTCTCCTGGCAGTGCTCAATCAGTGAGTCCATGATGTCCCGGATGTGCTCCTGGGGAAGAGCCAGTGGGTCAGGGATGTCACAGACACCAAGGGCTGGGGAAACCTCCCCCAGCCAGTGCCGCCTCCTGGGGGGTTTAACTACAGATTGGAGAGCTCCAAGGAGCTTTCCTGGGCAGAGGTGCGGGGACAAGGGAGTATCTTCTTCTCCCCGTTGCCAGGCAGGCAGCCAATTGTAGGCATCTCCACCCTCGCCCAAGAGCATCCAAGCTCTTACCTTATCAAAGCTGGTGTAATGCTCCTGGACAATTTTTTGCACAAAGAAACTGAAACGCCTGTTGATGTCCTTAAAGAGCTCCATGGTGCGGCTGGGAAGATACTGGAGCACGGGGATGAAGTCAGCGGGGTTGCCAGCAGCAGCCACGTCCCCAAATTCATTGTTGAGGTTCATCAAGCTGAGCAGCTCTTGGTCGTTGTGGTCGTAACGCTTGCCAAAGCACATGGCACAGATGACGTTGGCCACAGAGACCACCAGGTACTGGTTAAGGTCAAAGCTCTTCTCCTCATCCATCAGCTGCAGGAACTTGGTGACCAGGTAGTCGGCCTCCTTGGAGACGTGTTCCTCCAGGAGGCAGGTGGAAGAGGAGGTGGGGCTGGGGGCGATGGAGAAGGTCTTCAGGGCGTTCTGGGCCAGCTTTCTGCGGGCTTTCCACACCTCCCCTGAGTCGGGGCTGAAGGCCAGGCTCTGGCCGTTCGAAATGTATTGGAAGCTGTGGAGGTCAGGGCGCCCCATGAAGTCTTCTCCTTGCTTCACCAATGCTTGCCTGATGGTGTCCAGCCCGCTCAGCACCAGGACGGGCCGGGTGCCGATCCTGATCTCCATCACGTCCCCATACTTCTGGCTCAGCCTGGTCAGGACCAGGTGCGTGTCCTTCCTCAGCTCCAGCACGTTGCCGAGGATGGGGTAGCCTCTGGGTCCTGGGGGGTTCTTCAGCCCCTTGGGCACGTGCTGCCGGAGGGACTGGATGAGCAGGAAGACCAGGCAGAAGATGGCGGCCACGAGGAGGACCTCGGTGGCCGAGACAACGCCTTGGCTTCCCACCAGCGATATCGCAGCCTTCATCGCTGCCGGCATGCAGAAACCTTTATTGCTAATAAACCAAAGAGACATTATGAAGGAGGGAAGGTCTATGGAGCACCTGTAGTTTGAGACGCTCTCGGTAGCAACCGCACAGGACTGCGGGCAGGAAAGCTGGGCTTAACTTCTGATCTAGAGCCGCGTCGGTTTTCTGCACTTCAGGAAACTGCTTTTAAGTGAAAGCAGTTTCTTTTTGCTAGCCAGGAGTAAAAGGAACAGGTCCCATGGCTTTTTCTCTGTATGCCAGGGTAGGAAATGTGCTCTCTTAACTACAGGACCTCTCTTTTATACCTCAAAGTCTTTTCCAGAGCACTTGACTATAGGAGAGCTGAATCCTCCCGATTTGAGTCATCCGGTGGCTCGTGCTGAGCCACTGCTCACCAGCAAACTAAATACAGCATTGCCATGAATCTTCCTAAAGATCAATGGCCATGAAAGGTAACCCCGGCTGTAGCGTGGGGCTGGCAGGCGGTGAGCACCCTGCTCCCAGCTCTGTCGGAAATCCCTCAGAAAACCCCGAGCCAGGGGTAGGAAGAAGCTGGGTCTGAAATCCCACCTCCCCTTGGGTTTGGCAAGGTGCTACACCCCACCGTGGGACACCCAGGACCCGTGGGATGAGGAGCCGGGGGGCTGCTGGGACCCCTGGAACCCCAGTGGGTGCGGCCTGGCTGGGACCCCCTCCCAGCCCACGGCTGTGGATCGTGGCCACCCCAGAGCAAGAGGGGCCGTGGGACAAGGATTACCCCCAGGACCCCCCCCCAGAAATCACCTTCTGACAGCTCCGGGAAGGATGCTACGGGAGATTTGGGGAGCCCGGGAGGGGGGGACACCCTACAGCAGTGCACCCCCCGGCTTTCCATCCCTCGGGGGTCCCCTGGGCCCCAGCCCACGGCTGTGGATCGTGGCCACCCCAGAGCAAGAGGGGCCGTGGGACAAGGATTACCCCCAGGACCCCCCCCCAGAAATCACCTTCTGACAGCTCCGGGAAGGATGCTACGGGAGATTTGGGGAGCCCGGGAGGGGGGGACACCCTACAGCAGTGCACCCCCCGGCTTTCCATCCCTCGGGGGTCCCCTGGGGGAGCTGGAAGTGCCCCCCACACCTCTCCATCCTCCGGGCGGAGAGCCGCGCCTCGCAGCGGGCAGCCCCG